ATCAGTGGCAGTAGATGATGACAAACCAGAAATGTATTTTTAAGAAGTAGTCATGGAATGGTACTTTAAAACTGCCTTGCTTAAAATAACTTCATCCTCAGTCTCTATGGTATTTCAGCAATGAACAGACTGTCAGCCACTGAAAACAATGTGACAGCGGTTACAGAGGAGCTGGAAGCGACTAAGACTGAACAGCAGCTCCTGAAGACAAAACTGGAAGAGGCTGAGAGACTGATTTCTGGTAGGTAATTACCAAAATTGCAGACTTGGTGATTCTAGAAAATCTTGAAAGAGCAGTGACAAATGATTGGCTTCCGTGCTTCTAGGTCAATCAGCAGTAATGGGAGCCCTGGCTTCCAGAATGGCAACCCGTGAAGGGGAGGCGCAGAACCAGAAGATGGTGGTGAATGCTCTCAGGGAAGCGCTGGATAATTGTAAGATGAATTTCTTGGATTTACTGCTTACACTTTTCCCGGGAAAAACAAACAAATCCTACAACACCAGACACCACAGACACTAGGGAATCAGAAAAGTCAATAACGGTTTCGTGGACTGGGTATGAGTGGAATATGATGTTATATTGGCTTCCGTGCTTCTAGGTCAATCAGCAGAACTGACAGCTCTGGTTTCCAGAGTGACAACCTGTGAGGGGAAGGCGCAGAACATGAAGAAGAAGGGGAACACTCTCGAGGAAGAGCTGGTTAATTGTAAGACTGAACCACAAGTCATCAGGAAACAATTGGATGAGATGGAAAGGACAATTGCAGATATTTTGATAAGAAACAGACTACTTTTAAACAATAACTTGTATGGCTTTCCCTTGAAACTAACCAATAGTTTATGTTATCGCTATCTAGAAAAATAACCAAACTTGGCATCAAATTACTGTCCCTTAGTTAAATGCTTCCATCCTGTGTTTACAGGCGCTCCAAAACTGGCTTTCTCTGCTGGCTTGACCAGTTCAGGACATATTGGACCATTCACTACTGAAACTCCACTCATCTACGGTCGAGTCTTCACAAATATTGGCGGGGCTTACAACCTCACTACAGGTATGCACTACCGCAAGCTTCTTAATGAAGCCTTTAAGAGAAAGACAGAGCTGACCTCTCTTGATTCTCTACTGTTGCAGGCATCTTCACAGCACCTGTCAAGGGAGTCTACTATTTCAGATGCACTGCCTTCAACAACAAGAAAGGAGAGTGGATGGCAGTGAATTTATACCATAATAGTCAGATCATTTTGCATAATTCAGAGATAGCTAATGGTCATACCACCATTGCAAATGCAATACTTTTACAGCTGGAACAGGGAAGTGTGGTCTATATGTGTCTCCAAAAAAACTGTGGGCTTTATGATGATTCTACGACCTGGAACACCTTCAGTGGTTTTCTGCTGTTCCCTCTGTGACTTTCAGATATAATTTGATCTTCACAAAGGCCTTTAGGATTTGCACTTTCCAATTGTCTTTACACTGCATTTCCTTCATACTTTGTGAATATTGTCCTTGGTACCTCAATTAGATAAAGTCAAACGGAGACCGAAGTTGACTCTTGTATTCTAAAATCACTTAGCAAAAACTGTCAACTAATGTGCATGATCACATGACGTAAATAATGTACTGTAATTTAAAAGACAAGAGAAAGTTAAAGAACCTCAACGCGGAACTGATTTTCCTTGCAAATTTTGCAGCAGTCAATGCGGCACACTGAACAATGAACTTGAATTTATTAATTAATTAACTTATCATAACATCCAAGTTCACTTATTGTTTGTCTTGTAAATTCGATTTTGGGACTTCAAAGCCCCAGAGGCTCCGTCAGCACGTGAAACTTCACAGTCTCTCAGACTTGGCTCTACTCTCTGTGAAACTGCCATGCATAAGAATGTCACAAATACAGTATTTGCATGCTTTACCCAGTAATGCTGCTGCCTTTGTCAACTCAAGCCATAGGAGGATTTATGGGAATATTTTTTATTGATAGCATGGTTAAAAAAAAAAAAACAACACATTTTTATCTCAATGCAATACAAGGAAACATAAGACTGTTCCTCTCTTAAAAAGCACCTCTTTCTTTAACAGGTAAAATAATTGGGTATAGTCACAGGCTAACATTAGTGGTATAAATCCAAAGGAAAGAGCCTAGAATTCTTAGTTGGAGATGGTCCTGTGAGCTGCAGGAACAATGGGAAGATGGAACCATGTATTCAAATATTTATAACACAATGGTATGTTGTATTATCTATGCATTACAGATGTTAAATATTTACTACTAAGTAAAGTCAATATTGTCCTCAACCTGTATTAATGAAATTGTTTGTAATGATAAAGGCAACAAATTTAACTGCACCTTATCACGGCCTACGTGTGAGTGAGAAATAACGTCTGTGTACTGCACACATGCAAAAACACAGTATTGACACACAGTGTACATTGCACCTGCTACCATGGTAACAACAGATATGACTTCAACACTTACATACTTCTTCACACAGTGAAGTCCAAAGTACACCAACAGAGTGAAAATCCAAAATTGTAACAGTGTTTGACCTAACTGACCAGTTTGACTGATACATCAACAGCACCTGGTGTCCTGTAGACTGTTATCAGAGCAGTCTACAGATTGGGTCTTTTAGAGAATAACTTGAGCATCAGAAGTTTTCCATTACTCACACTATTACATTCACTGCTGTCATTGCGGCAGACTAAGACACATGTCTAGGTAGGAAAGTCTAGTAAAGCATGAAGTGTTTGAGCGAATACACAAACAGACAAGTGGGCAGGCCAGCACCACCATCCCTGACATCTCGGCTGAGCCGAAGGAGTGGAGAAACATGGTAATAGAACAGAGGGTGGAGCTGACTGTCACCAAGCCTCAGCTTCAATGCCAGAGAGACAAAGTGGCTGATGTAAGAACACAGGTAAAAAAAAAAAAAAAAAAAGAAGATACATCTAATAATAGAGCTGGCTTTACACAGTCATTCTGTCACTTTAAAAGACGGCTATGTCATAGTCAGTCATTTTGCTTTTCATTTAACATGTTTTAGACCATGGTCTGGGTGAATCCTCGAATCTGGCTGTAGTGTGTCCATTATTTCCTGATAATAGACACTAAGTAGTTCCAGTTATACAGTCTGTAAGCCATTCTAAATGAATGTGTTGGCTACATTAAATGAAAAAAATAAACAAACAATAATTGCATATCGTATTTACAACAACGAGTGTAATCCTTAAGTGCCTCATCCTCTGAACTTACTGATATATATATATATATATATAAATACTTGTCTCTCACATCCATTTCGCTATTCAACTCGGTACCTCAGGCTGCGGCCGAGAGTACACATGACCTCTCATTTGTTCCAGAAAATATTGATATTGAATTGGGGACAATAAAATGGCTTGATAGCTAGCTAGCCTTGCTGTTAAAACATACTGTCAAATTATATTTACAGTTTATTAAACGTACACAATATTCTGAGCCGAAGGGTTCTATGAGCTCATAGTTTCTAATAGTCCTAAAGTCATGGACATTAAGCTCATTGCTTAATATTTACCTATAATACAGGGTGTGAGGGCCAAGCGAGGATCAGTGGTATTACGAAGTTAGAAAGCCTAGAACATGAAAGAACAACCCCCTTCCTGCTTACTCTTCCTTCCTGCAGTATTAGTACACATATTTTATTGACAAAAAGTCACTGACAAAGCTCTGCTAATTTGGTGATATAAATATTTAATTTCCTATAAATTCTTCGCAATACAAGTTCCCCATTCTTTCTGCTGCTTACTCTTCCTTCCTGCAGAATTAGTAGAACTGTTTTAATAAGTACTAGCTGCTAACAACGCTCTGCTAATTCTTTCATAAACACGTTTGATTTGCTCTAAATGATTCACAGTAAAAGTCCTCCCTTATTTTGTCTTTTAAAAGCTTTCATTTTGAAGCAGCAAAAGGAAATGTGGTTTTATCAGCAGTAACTTAAGAGTCAGTTAGATGCTCAGACAGCATCTCAGCTGTGCTCGGGCCCCGATTTTCCTTTTTTCTTCCCGCATGCTGTCAAATCTGTAGGAATGTGCTCACATGCTGTCCACACCTCATTTAAATCTCAACTCAAGGTGAGCCAGGCCACTTCGGCATGTGTTCTGGTTGATGGGATCACAATGCCAGCAAGAACTGATCTCTGAGCACACAGACTTGACAGTCAAAGCGTCGGATGGCAAAAGTCACATTGAAAAGACAAGTGCAACCAAGACCTATGTCACTGCAGGTGTTTTGCTCAGGACCCAAGGAAGCACCGTTTTGAGTGTTAAGTTATTTGGATGAGCGGTTCTCGAGAAAAGTGCGAGCAGTAACGCCAAAGGCCAAGAAACCGGCCCCTTCCGAACAGCCCTGTTTGTAATGGGCAATGCACTAGTTTCTATTGATTTTAGCTCATATTTGCCACAAGGGATCAATGCACAGGCAGTAGCATCAGACTGATCCAACGTTGAGAGAGAGGGAGAGGGAGAGCTGGAGACAGCTAAATATTTACAATTTCTTTTACTGTATGAAGCAAGACATCATTGTTTCATCTCCCTGCCAACATGTGGCATGTTGAACACCACATAGTGCAAGAAATCCTTGTTAGACTGTCCAGTGTGGATATCAATTCTGAAACATTACCGCCCAACTTTGTGCTATACTTTCCGATCTCTTCCCACCTTCATTCATCCTTACTGCTCCTCTTTTCTACTCCTCTTTTCCCATAATTTCCCTCTCCTCTCCCTTCCAACTGTTTCTATTACAAGTTGATCTTGTATGCATGGTATAAATTAATCCATTCATTTGTCTGCTTTTTAAAAAATTGAATTCAGTGTCTTCTGTCGTTCATGAATTTATCCTCGCTCCCATCTCCTCCACTCCTAAATAATCCTTCCTTCAAGGTAATTTGAAGAGCTTTGCACATCTTAACGGATGGTAATATGCCAACCACACAAAGCCTGAGAATATACAACATATTAAGCTGTGCCTACACACAGAAACACAAACGCACACAGGCACGGGAACACACACTCGGGGGGGGGGGGTGAATGAAACGATATAACATTATAATTGGGGGTGGATGTAGTATGTTTTCCCCACAAATCTGTACCTCTGGCCTTTCTATTATTGTAATGCCATGAGGCCTCCTATCCAGACTGTGCAAGCAACTTTGTGTGTGTGTGACTGATCATTTTGCATTTTTAAGGAAACTGATGAAATGATGAAATGATGATTATTTCTAGCTAGACTTGATGTGTGTAATGTGTGAATGCATCCATGAAAGAACACACAAACATATTTCTGCTTTAGAGGTGGCTGAATCAAACAGTTTGTGCTGCCTGTTCCTTTGTCTTATTTTACAATGAGCCTTGTCTCTCATTGAGTATTACTCTGTGGAGTGACACATTTCCCTGGTGGTGTCAAATAGGCTGATTAACACAAATAATGACGAAAATAATTCATGGAAAAGATGCAAAACAGATCGAGAGCAAGAGAGCAAAGCAGATGAACGTTTTTCCTCCGGAGCATATACCTCTTTTTTAATACTTTTAGAGAAGGGACAGACATAATAGAGAGGGGGAAATAAATTAAAAAAAACAGCATGACACCTCTTATAGCCGAAATACTACATGCAGTCGAGCCCGGAATTTACCCAGACAGTGCTAGCCACTAAACCGCCGTGCAGCCCTTACCTAATTCAGATATGTGCAAATAGGACAGGAGCGCCATTCGCTCGGCAGCCCAGTTAGGCCTTGTTTTCACCCTTTGTGGGTGCTTTGAGAGCTACACAGCTTCTTTTTGTCGTATTTGTGCAAGTTTAGCAGCCGCAAAAGCCTCCAGCAATCTTTTTGTGAATTTCCCCATCAGTTACTTTTCACTGTCTAAAAGCAAACAGGGAAGTGCCAAGAGCTAAATCCTTTTTTCATGTTTTCTTGAAGCTATACTAACATATTTAATTAATCAAGATTAATTATCACCACTTAAAGCTTTTGTCTCCTTTGACAACCAAACCAACGTTTAAAAACTTATTCCTTCACTTTGTTGCACGAGAACCTCCTAAATGAGAGTTCTCTGTTTCTGCAAAAACACTGGAGACAGTGGAGTGTTGTTTCCATGGATACAGTGCTTGTGCCCAATTATTTGATAATCAATCAAGAGAGCGATCAAAGGATAGCATCTTCTGAACACAAAGTAAAATACCAGCACTCACCAGATATCTGTATCAGGTACAGAAGCAGCATTTTTCATTGGCTTTGGTTTAATTGGTCATTTCATGGGAGGAAATGTGGAAAACATGTTTTTGCACATGAAAACAGGCTTAAGTCCCGTTGAATGGCCATCAAGGCAAAGTTTTCCAGCCCCACTCTAACGAAGCTGTATTCTAACACATCAGTGATGCGAAGATAAGTGTAGAGAAGAGAGTTAATGGCTAAGTAAAAGCAAAGTGATGGGAAAATTTGATCACAGCCCCAGCAGGAATTTCAACTAAGTACTCTCTATTAAAGCACATGCAGCACACACACACACACACACACACACACACACACACCGTTAAGGAGACACCCACAGTCTAATCTAGAATGTTCTCTCAAAGGCCCAATTCTCCCTTTAGTTTCATCTTCTGTCTCTCTGCTTCAGAGTCAGAAGGGGATGAAATGATAGAGGTTTTCTCACAGTAGAGAGGAGCGTGTTTCTGCAGGTCACAAACAGCCTCGGGGCGCGCTCTCTCTCTCTCTCTCTCTCTCTCTCACACACACACACACACACAAAACCACACATCCATGGACTCACGCACACATTATGCATGTGTGTGTATGCATAACAGCTCCGAGATCTACTGTACCGGCCGCTCCATCTCCATTCAGGGTAAAAAATCAACTTTAATGACCTGGGACCCACCGTGGACAGAATGAGGTTATGAAGAGGTATTCAGGTGATTTTTAAAACATCAGAGACATTAAGCTTTTATTCACCACCTCCCATCCTTCATCCACCCTCCCTTTTTATTCTGCACCTGCAGATTCCCTTGGGTTTTGCAGAAAACTAAGGCTAATCCTCATAATACAGTCAAGTATTATGAGGTTGATGAATTATCACTTTGGTCCAGACCTAAATATCACCCTCTTACAATACATACCCATGAAATGCCAACACACACAAAAGTAGATTACAGTGCAAACACATCTATAAGCCAGGATTTATTCTACTGGATAATGTGTTCGCACACAGTTGTCTAGCATTGCTGACACACCAAGAGCAAAAACAGAGCGACATGAGCATCTTAATACTCACCACCTGTGTGAAGTGCCTAACATTAATTTGCATTTTGCCTTACTTTGATCCGCCAACTTCTGAGAAAAACAAAATATATTGGTTTGTTAAATGTTTGTCTCTTAATTAGGCTCTCAGTGATTCCAGCTCTCTGCTATTTTGTATGAAGCAGAGAATCAAAAATGCAATGAGAGCTGCAAACTAAGAAGCTCATTCTTGGTAGAAATTGCTTGATTTGATTGCAACTCCTTCACTTTAAAAGCAAGTCATTTGATTCTGTATACACATGAGAAAAACAAATTATTGTTAATGAAACTTATAATACTACAAAGGTCATTAAGGGTCAAAACAAAAAAAAGCTACATATGGTTCTGTCATTAATGTATCCATCTTAAGCTAATATGGTTTATTTTAAGCCAATGTGGCATTGTTTTATTAGAAAGTAGGTTAGAAAATGTATACTTGGCTCACCTGTATTTACATCACATTCACACTGTGGTCAATGTCAGGTGCATGTGATGTGAGAGTTAGGTTCACCTAATCACGTGGCTTCTTAAAGGCAGGTAGGAGTTTCTTAAGAAACAGTGTATAGACCCAGACAAAAACAATCCCTCTTAATCGTCCCTTATTGTCCTTGTCGCCAGGAAAACATGTTGGCAATATACATTTCTGCAAACCACGAATACGTTAAATATTTCGTAGTATATGGAGCGATTGTTATTGAGGGCTAGGTGGTATTAAAGTTACGTGGTGTAATATCAAGTATAGTAGTACTTACTGTACTACTGTAATAGTAAGTGAGGAAGTCCTCTGAGGACGGGCGGGAGCATTGGTGGCGGTTGTTATTTATATATGCTACTTATGGTTGTTATGTTACAGTGTTACGTTATTATTTTAAGACAAACCATGCTCTTTTTTTAAAAGAACCAAAAAAAAGCTACAACAAGGGAGGCGCCCAAAAAAACTAAAATATCGTTCGGCAAAATGCCAAGCGCTCAAAGCTCATTTCAAAACAAGAGTGAATCTAGGGTTGGCTTTCACCTGCAGGCAAGCACCGTAACCTAACCGCCGTCAGAGGGCGTGCGCTTTGAATGTTGTGTTTACAAACCACAACCAACCAATCCTACTCATTCTTCCTTTAAAAATGTTCTCTGTAGACGGATAACAAATCAGACAAAAATCAAATACTGATCCATTATTGAGACAAAGTGAATCCTGGTGAGGCCTCCTGAGTGGTTGGTGCCCCAGTGTGCTCGAAAAAAAAAAGTCTTTATGCATTGGCACGAGGACGGGGGAGCTGTGGGCTGCAGATCAGTGGAGTAAGTCTGTGTGGTTTTACCTTCCAGCAGATGCCTGATTATACGTATGAATAAGCTGTCGCTAAATAGCATCATAAGCAATCTATCCCCACTGGGAGAAGAAAACTGGATTGTGTAGTCTCTGTAAGGAGCTCTCTTTTCTCTCTCTCACTCTCCCTCTTAGTGTGTGCACATCTGCACGTCTCTCCCCAGTATATTTGCCATTAAGAGGGACTAAGCATTTCATTACAAGTCTACTGAGCTCCCACTGTGTCATTGAAGCCAGAAGCCAGTGTGGCTTTATTTCTGAGAGATACTAATAACAGAATCAAAGGAGGGAGCGTGTGTTTGTGTGTCTGTATATTCTAGTAATGCTGATGTAATTTTAGGCTCAAGCCCAATTAGCCTAGAGGGTAACTCTGTAATAAACCCTTACCCCTGGGCATAATGGCCTATTAAAGCAGCAGTGGACAGAATAAATGAATGCGTCTAAGGACAGAGAGAGAGAGGGACAGAGAAAGAAGGAGAGGCCGGAGGTATATGAGGAATGGGAGGGTAAGAGAGGTGGTAGACTAAGAGGGACAGAGGAAGCTTTGATGATAGATATGTTCACAAGTCTAACTTCATGTACAACAGTTAAAGAGGATCCATCTGCGTACATCATTTGCTCTTCTGCCGGGTCTCCACAACTCAAACTTTCAGACATTCAACGACCTAGGTGAGAGCAACATTGCAGCAGTAAAGGAGGGCTTCGACTGTGTGGCGATACTCTTTGATATCTGATTTTAAAAATGATGAGGAGGTCAAGATGATAAGCAAGTCAGTAGACCCTATACAGTAACCAGGAGGAGGCTGATATAAGATTAGTTCACGCAACACACCTTGAACAGTCCCATTCTTGTGTTATCATCTAATGCAATGCAATAGCGTTACTTGTTTTTCTTGTCTACAATGCAAGTAAAGGGATGTTTGAAACATCCCTCTCAATTCTGTGATTGTGTACCTGCATGTGCAGACAATTTCAGAGTGCCCAAACATGACATATTTTGACACCAAATATAATATGGATGAGAGACATGCAGCAAACAAAAGATGGAAAAAGCAGGAAAAAGAAATAGACCATGGAACGTTTTGTGTTTGTGTGGGTGTTATATATCCATACTAAAAAGTTTATTTGGCCAGTGCAAATTATTACTTTTGCATCCAGAACATTTATTCACCCCAAAGTGTTTATGTTAAAGTGGAGTTATTGGTCAAAATGGAGGGTAAAATTATGCCCAGGACCAAAAAGCAGAATTTCAGCATCCATTTCCAGCAATTTTCCAAATGAGGAAATTGTCTTAAGCTGCACCAAACACACTAAACACCAGGCAGATACACATATGCAAGAAGTCAGTTTAGCTGTTTGTTCAAAAATTCCGACATTGCACTTTATCCAACCCTAAACTTTGTGCATGAAATGTCAATGAAAAAGCATAAATTCTTCGTATTTCCATAGGTTTGTGGTTATGATATACTTTGACATACTTCAAAAAAAAAAATACAACTACAGGCATCATTACATGCTAATAATTCCTGAATAATTTTGTTTCCTTGGCTAAATCTTAAGACTGAAGATAAATGAACTACTACACTAAACAGCTTGTAGTTTAAATTGTGTGGTGTGTGTTTATCGCTTATTGTTGCAAACGTTGACAAACTCACCTGATGATAAGTCTACCCGGTTGTTTCTGGTCGCCTTCGTAACATTGATATGAACTGCAACCTTGCTTTCCTCGAGGGAGATCTCCAGCGTGCCATCATCAAGATTACTGAAGAAGAGGAGCCCATCAGGGTTCCACGTACGAAACTGGAAGCTCACAGATATTGTGTTGTGATTGGCTCGACCCGGCAGCTGCAGGAAGCTGGTGGCATTAAAAAACACCGGGAAGGTGTGTGTCTCCACACAGGAGAAGGACAGGTTACGCTGTCAAGACAGATTTTGAGAGAGAGACACCAACAAAGTGAGATAATAGGACGCTATCAACTGGTCTTCAAAGAGTAAAGTCAAACACAAAGCTAATCTCTTGAGTGTGGACTTGTATGTGAAGTTGTTTGAATGTTTGAAATGCCCCAACACAGGAAATCATGTATTTATTCACCAGGCTTTTGTTGCTTTGAATCTCGCTTCCGCATGTTTACCTTCAGATGTTCTTGACTGAAGCTAGATTCAAAGACTGATGTTGCTTGTACACATTACAAAAAAATGTCTCTTTTTGGCCCATGCTGTCTTTGAAACCAGGGTTGAACAGTAACCCGGGTGATGTTTGTGTGCTTGATGAAAACAAACATTATTGTGGATTTCAGGCACTAATTTCCAGTGAGCTTCTCCAACCTTGTGCTCTTAATCAAATCATTCGCTAATGCACAATATTGAGCTGCCTTACCAACTATAGACGATTCCTGATTGCCTCTGCCTGTGCGTGTGTGCGTTTTTGATATTTGAGAGCAAATCTGTTTTGATTAGAAATGAACGGCTGTGTGAATCATCAGAGAGAATTAGAGGTGCTGCTTTAACGAACTTGATTAGTGCCTCCATGTGTTCAATCAGAAGATCGAAGAAGATACACTTGGTGTCCACTGTTGAGGAAGAACAGGAAAAGGGGAGAGACGAGAGCTCTGAAACAAGCTCTTGAAACAGTAACTTATTTTAAGGATGGCAATACACACATCGAGACTACGTCTAGGAGTCATCCCGGTTTCTGTGCGTTTGATGGGGAAAAGAGAGGGATTTAATATGCTCCTCATTCAGTTGAGATTAGTGAAAACAAACTGTTCCAAAGTCATTTCAGCCACATTATCAAGAGAGAGCACAGAGACAGGAGGCAAACACATGGAGGGGCCACTGATGGGTCAGTTGTGTCTTATTAATTATGAATCTGTTGAACTTTTTTGGTCCGGTGAATAAATTGCCCTCTCACTCAGGTCAAATACAGAGCTAGTGTGACAATAATGATCATGTTCGGTTTTCAGCTGCCTTTATATGCATGTTACTTCAATCTCTTTAGATTTACATGTTTGCAATTGAGTTGTATTTTGTTTCTATATATATATATATATATATATATATATATATATATATATATATATGTGTGTATATGAGAGTGTCTGTGTGTGTGTGTGCATGCACATTTCACTTACAAAGCTAGAGGTGTCTAGCTTCTTTCGACGGGCCAAGTCTGTAATGTTGTCTCCATTGTAGTTGATGCTCTCCATGCAGCCTTTAAAGTTCTTCCTTCCTCCTCCCACTGGCTTCCCACTGTATGGCATCCCCCCAAAACTCAACTAGAGAAGAACAGAGTGCAAAGAGATGGATAGAGAAAAAAACAGGTAATTAAATCATCTATATTGGCTTCATTACTTAGCTATTCCCCCTGCAAACAGGAATTACAAAAAAAACATACAAATGTCTAATGCAAGAAAAAAAGTATCAAATGGACTGATATGAAAAGCCGTAATAGTCAGATGGAGGTTATTAGAGGTCCAGTTTTGGATATTGTTGGGTGTTTATGTGTGGATGAATGATCAAGAACAACATGAAGCCTTAGCAGGAAGTGTAGCCTTCACTAATCACTTCTGACAACAAAAACGATAATAAGGTCATTTTGAAAAAGATTAAATCTGTGTTTTTGAAAATGTGATGTCATAGAAATATGCCTATGACAAATATTGTAGCGCCACCTTTAGGTCTATTGTGTGAACGAATGCAGACATGGATGGATCAGGCCTGAGACACAGTCATTCCTTTGAATTTATATTTCGGAAAAGTAGTGTCAGCTCCAAATAAAATCCCAATATTTGTTCTGCACTACAAGTGCAATACTGACAAATCTAATCAAATCTTAGTATACTCTTGACATACACATTATATAATACATTATATATTTATATAATTTGACTGCTGGAGCAGTGAGAGAAAGCGTTACCGGAAGAAGACAGAAGTTTGTGAGGAACAGATGCAATAAGAGCAGAACCGAGGCGAGGAGATGGAGGCTAATAAACTGGCATCTGGTGGGAAGCGCTGAAGGACACAGAACTGATGAAAATGTAAACTGCGTTTCATATTTTTCGACAGTAGAACATGTGTTTATTTTTTCTTTCAGACATAGCTCTGAGGGTTATTAAGAAGATGGAGGGAGGAGTGCAATTACCAGTAGATATGTGTCTGTCAAACTGTATGTATGTGTGAGTGTATGTGTGTGTGTGCATGTATGCTTGTCTGTGTCTGTAGTGACGCTCCAGTAGTCTTAGTAATTACTGTCAAGCGTAGACACAAATGCATCCGGATATTTAGTCTACAGGCTGAAAGGGGGCAGAAAATGTACAGACGTGCACACACATACACAAAGGCACATATGCACACATAGAAAATGGAGTGTGTGGGCTATATGGAATACAGAGGTACACTCTGACAAAAAGCTGGTCACAATTGTGCTATAACAGAAGAAAGACTCGGTCAGGCAATAACACTGCAAAGACCCACTCACCACATACACACACACACACACACACACACACACACACACACACACACAC